AGGATCCTGTCGATTATTATAGCTCGTAGTCACGGCGATGTTAGTGCACGGCGCGGCTACTTTGTATCGAGTGCTCTTAACGGTCTAATATCGATGGCACTTAACACGTGGGGTCCGATAAGTCCGTCGCGTCACGTGCACTTCGCTGAAAGGGAGAAAAAGTCCCGGGATGGGTGCCCGCGTGCCGACGCGGAGGAATTCGATATCTTTTGCGCGTGGAACGCGGAAGATGAAAAATAACGTGATAAAAACGACGCGGACCGTTAAGGGTTTAGCGTTTTATAAGATAAATGTGTGGACCCCCTCCCCTGCCCCCATTGAAGAATTCCCCCTCCCCACCGGAGGCGAAATTTCTCTCATCGTGTCTTCGATCGCGTCGCTCACCGAGGACGGCACGGTGTTACATGTTGGAGCACACTTCGCGACTCCGTAATATGCGTATACAAGAGAAGCAATAGGACAAGTGCCAAAAAAAACTCGTTTCATCACAGCGACGTCCGGAGCACCGCACCGCTAGCCGTCTGCTGACCGTACATGCATTTTTCTGTAATTAATCTAAAAGAAAGGAAAGGAAAGGAAGGAAAAGCGCGCGAGTACGAGATGACCGATATTGGAATTCGCGGTCGGCTGAAGAAGTAGCGCACGTCGAATTAGAAGTTATACATCGTTTATATCGTGAAATACGATACTGTGTATTTTTTCCCCGCGTGCGAGAGCGGTGCAAATATTGGAAAATTTTTGGCAATCGTACTTTCTATTCTCAAAAAAACACCTCTTATATTCGATAATGCGAAAAGGGAACACAGTCAGGCCGTTCGTGAGATTTGTTGACATAGGACGCTCGAATCATCTCGCTTGTTGAGCAACGTTCGTTAACCCTTTAACGTTGGAATTTTTGAATTTTAGAGGAAATTAGAGGAAACCAAGATTTTTCTTCTTAATGTTTATACTAATATTTATTATTTGTTCAAAAAATTTTATGTTTCGTTTAAGATATATTTATTCTAAAGAAGACGAGTAATCAATAAAATTAAAATTAAAGAGACTTTTAAACGTTAGAGAACAAGTTGAGGGAGTGATATATCATGAGGACGCGTTAAAGGGTTTAGAAACATTTTCTTTTCGTCACTCGATGCATCCTCTTACATTTTCAACGTTCTATCAATGTTCTATCCCGTTTAATTTCCGTCTTTCATTTGCGCGAGCGAAACGTACTTGGAACTTGATGTAAGATTTCTATATTTAGACTGATTAGCTTCCGATATAATCGCAGAAATTTTCAATGTGTGGGCGTATTATTCTGCAATATATTATGTAAAGGGTAAAGGCGTAATGACGTAAACGAAAGACCCGTCGACTAGACGGATATGACGCATAAGAATAAGGTATTTAACTAGAAAGACCGGCATGTTTCGCTACCTATATATCACACAGCAGCCTTTCTAGAAAAGGGATTTCTCGTCGCGGAGGCGAAGAGGCCGCGATTACCCAAAGAGATTGGAGGCGCGAAGCCAAAAGGATGTAAGGACAAAAGTGGGATTATCGATTTGATATTCAAAACCGCGACCGTGTCAAAGTGATAGCATTTTATATAGCATTAGAGGATTTTTATCGCAGATTCTTACATGAGAAATGTTATAATAACGACGGCGACATATAAATTGCATAGGTCACATATAATACATAAATCACACGATTGTTACGTCGACTGGCCAAATATCTTGATGATACACACATACCAAAGAGAACAACAGAGTAGTTACGGAAGTGAATAGAGGCTGAAACACGGGGGGAGAAAGGGGGGATTGTTTCAAAACCTCCGGAATAGTTTAGACTACCGCGTGAACGAATATCCCAAAGCACATTCTAATCGCGAGGGTAAAAAGGAAGATAACGAGGTACGCGATACCGTAAGCAAAATACGGTAAGATATACATGTTTGCGCGAGAGGCAAAGGCAGGAGCAATCGTGAAGCGAGTGATTTTGGTAGCGAGTATACTTCCAATGTGTCAAAGGTTACTCGATTATTTAATCGTAATAAAAGAAAAAATAAAGTAAAAAAGTAACGGAGTAGAGAGACGCCGAAACAATAAGCGTCCGATCGTACCATCAAGTTGTTTAGTCTTCTGCGCCACCCCATTTGTAATCTACGAAGGTAATCACACAAACCGCGCTAAGCCATGAATATTAAGTGGGCGAGCTTAGGAAAAAAAAACCCATATTAGACGGCAGAGTATCTTTATAGCTGGTGTAACTGCGCTAGGAAGAAAAGGAAAACGAGAAAAAAAAGAAAAAAAACAGACGCGTAAAAGACAGTACGGAGTAATAGATTATACGCCGGTGCACGCGAATATAAATGATATTCTTTCATTTAAATTCAGGACACGCCCATGGCAACCAATGAGATACGCAAGGAAAATTTTACATGTATATTAACTCTCAGATGATAATACTAATAATAAAATACTTATATAAGGAAATGTATATATATAAATAAAACTGCAGCTCTATATATATTATATATATACATACATTGTTATACTATTATATACTAGTTGGTTTTCTTTAAACATCCCTTATCTTCAAGATCAATCATCAACATCTCCTCAAAGTAGCTCCTGTACCATTTTAAACATTGAACATTTTATTTCTATTATTTATCTGCCGATCCGGATTGGACGAACGCGAACGAACGCAACCCAGGTAGCAGACAGTCGTCATAATGACGTGATTCTAACGTCATATTATGACGTATGTTACGTCATTTATTCCTAAAGTTTAACGTAAAAATGACGTATTTTTCACGGTCCTAAGTCACATCCCAACGACGTCATTTTCTGACGTTTTATTGACGGCAAAAATAGGTCTAATGTACGACATACCGGTTTCTAGAAATGTTTTTTATGAAATTAAAATTTTAAAATGTCTACTTGATAAACGTTTACAAAAAAATGTTCTTTTTCTTTATTTAAAAAAAAAAAAAAAGCTTTTTTAACTGTTTCGTTACATGCCATGTGCGTATAGCCGCTCTCAAGGCGGTCACCCATCCTAGCACAGTACCGCGTCCGAGTCGCTTGACTTCGATGATCCAGTGGACAGTGACGATCTTCTCACCCTGATGCTTCCTTATTAACTGTACTTGTCAATAACAGGTACATCTTTAAAGTGTTCAAAAATCTTGTAATGATATCTTTTTGATAGTTATAACACTGCATGAAATAGTTGTCATAAAACTATAATTACACACGCAACTAGATCCACTTATACCATAAATTCACCACGTCGTTCATAAAGTTACGAAACACTTTATAAATGTAGGAATATTCCTGTGAAAAATACTGTGAAAAATGTCATTTTTACGTTAAACTTTAGGAATAAATGACGTAACATGCGTCATAAAATGACGTAAGAATCACGTCATTATGACGACTGTCTGCTACCTGGGTAGTCAATTAAACGTCTATATAATGTCATTTTACAAAGTCTTTTTGACGTATTAAAACATGACGTTAAATATACGTCACTTAATCGACGAATGACGTTACTGACCAATTATGACCAAATATTGACGTCAAAATGACGAGTGCTTGCTACCTGGGAAATGAATAACAAACAATGCCGTCAGTACTTGCGATTCGTTGAAGCAAATTGTTCGTTCGCGCTCGTTTGCTTGGTCCGGATTCGACTTGAAAATTTACGAGAGAATTTTGAGAAGTATGAATAAAAAAGAATGTAAGTTCAAAATTATGATTTACAGTCTTGAAACATCCTGTACATGTTGTATAATATATTTATTGAAAATGTTATTTTAAAAGCGTCTGTGTACAACTATAAGAATACAAGATATAATATTAAAAATAGTCGGTATCTTGTGGAGTTTTCGTAACTACTAAAATTTAGATAAATAGCTCATATAATGTATTAATTTAATGTAATATATTGATTTATTATTATCTTGGTTTTTCTTGCAAACTCTACATATGTATACAGGATCTTTCTTAAAGAGTGCCTACTAAATATCGTTTTCTTATCAACATCCCTTATAGAAATTTAATACTGTAAGTGATTTTTTGGCTAGTAATTAATCACTTAAAAACACTATTAAAAGCACTGTTAATAGAAACTAGAAAATTCCAGTTTTTTTTTCCTATAATGCTTAATAAAGCAGTAATTAATGTAATTATATTGTGTAAAGTCAACCAACACCATCTTTTCGACGGGCGTACGACTGGTAATGTGCGCTCACGCATACTGTGATTACTAATTAATGAGCGTTCTTTTAAGAAATAGTAGAAAAACCCTACATCTCTACAGGGAGGACATCGATTTTCATTTAAAACTGCAACTTTATCATTCGAGTTTGATTATTCATACGAGATATAATTATAGGAAAAAATACATAGTTTTATTCACAATATATCATATTATTTCGTCGTAAATGTGCATTCTTACTTATGAAACATCTGTACAATAATAAATCATGAATTTAATGTTACATTTTAAGCTATATATATAATAATTATAATTTTATTTTTAAATATCTATAGTCGGGAATCTTATATCAGTAGTCAATAATATCCGTATTCTTTAATTAATTATTCCCAAGTCCATTTTAATAGTCACGAAAATTCATTCAGTTGTTTTTATAACAATATCTCACCGATGTGTTGCAACGATTACAAATTCAAAAAGATCATGCGGCAAGATATATTAATTACTAATATATTTATTATTATACTACTACGATGATAATAGCGGATAACGATAATTATATCGATCGAGTGTGAAGTAGAAGACCAATAACCATCGCTCGGTAAAACCCCTTACACAATAGCGATAGCGACAGCGACAAAGTTGCCGACAAAGGTACCTTTGTCGGTAACTTTGTCGCTGTCGCTATCGCTATCGCTATCGCCTATTGTGCAAGGGGCTTAATAATCACGACAACTTACTTACCCGCGATAACGTAATCCTCGCCGTCGTAATTATTGATCGCGGCGGCGATAAGATGTCACGACGCGCGGCTCGCGGGACCGGTGCCACCGCCCTTCGTACATGTCGCGCCCAGCGCCCTCGGTAGGCCGGCCCTACGTTGCGGCGCGATCGGAGCAACCGGAGCAACCGGAGCAACGAAGGCGGAGCGCAGCGTAGCGCAACGCGACGTAACATTGCGACGCGACGCGACGCAACGGAACGTAAACGTAACGGCGATGCCCATCCTCGAGCACTACTGCGCATATCGTGTAAATCGTGTCTATTAGGCGGAGAGACTCCAGACATCGGTCGTCCATCGTCTCGCTACTCTCGCTAGTGTACGCGGTCGCGTGTGTGTGTGTGTGTGTGTGTGTACGTGTGCTGAGATATATACATATATCTCCCTCTATGCATACGTGTGTGCGTGTGTGTACGTGATGGTTCTGATTCGGGGCTCTGGTACGCGCTCGATGGTCGAGCATCGTCGCGCACACATCGCCGCACCTACGACGTCGGGCGGCGCCGCGAGATCGGCGAGCGACATCGCCGCCCATTATTAACGACGACGCGATCGTTGCGTTTCCTCCCATCGTCGTCGTCGTCATCTCCGCCGCCTCCGCCTCCGCGAGGAAGGCACGGTAGCGGTCGACGGAAGCGGCCGGCGGACGCTGTCTGACCAGCGGTGTGGTGTCTCAGTGATCAATGAACTCTGGTTGACGCGTGTCGAGGCGTGCTGGCAGCGGAGCGCCCCAGCGACGGCCCGGCGGACGTACGTACAAATAAATCGCCCAGCCAATCTGCCAATCTTACCCTCTTCTCTTTCTCACTCTCTCTTTCTGTCAATTCTGTCTCTCCCTGTCTTCCCGCCGCCGCTTATTCTCACGATAAATATATATTACATTAGGCGTCTGAGTTTCTCGCGGAGCGCGCGCGAAGGGCGTCTCGGAAGCCTCCTTCGCGACGACGTCGACGACGGCGGACCTGTCCGGCTTCCATTTTCGGAATACGCCGCGCCAAGGAACTCGCAATTACGACCACGCACGTATGCGTCGTATACGCGGGGGACGGACGTGCGCGGGCGGCGGTGTGTGTGCGCGCCCATAAACGCGCGCGGGACGAGGGGCAGCGGCAGGGTAACGAAGCGCGGGGAAACGAGCGCGTGCACGCATCGCGAGGCACGCATCCTCCTCTTCTATTCTCTCTCTCTCTCTCGTCTTCGAGCCCTCGCCACGACGTCGCCGTCGGCCGGAGATCGCGAGAAGAGCGTCTCCCGGCCCTTTTGCGTCCCTCTCTCGTGCCCTAATCCCGACTGGCTCGCTCGCTCGGGATCCCCTGTCGGACGATCGTCGTCGTGGTTTAATCGCGCGAGGACGCGACGGGAGAATCTCCCGCGTGATTTACAATATCTCTCGTTGTCGCGCGTTATGTAAACACGGTACCGTCGCTTCGTCGCGAGAGGATCGGGCAGAGCCGACGGCGGGGAACGGATCCGTTTCCGGAGTACGTAATCCCGTCTCCGCGCGTATCTGCGACTCCGCGTGTTCCCTTCCCTCCCCCCCCTCCCGTGTCGTTCAGAATGAATCGATGCGTCGATCTTTTTAAAGAGACGCGCGTAAGTACGGTTGACAGCCGAAAGTGGAGCAGCGCGTCGGGAATAAAGAACGAGAGACGCTCTCTCGCTCTCGTGTGCTCCGCTTCGCGGGACTCGGAGTAAAATTGGCTTCCGTCCTTTCACGCGAGTCTCTCTTACGTGTCTCCCTTTACCTGGAAAACTGTGCGAGTCGCGGGACGAGAGACGGCCGCGCTGTCTCGATACCGGAGAAATATTGGAGAAAGCACGCGCGCGCTGGCTTCTATTCTTCAAATATCCCATTGTATTTTCGCTTTTTCGACACGCGTGACTCTGCTGTTGTATAGCCTCCTACGATTACTCATATCCTGCTTACGTAATTCAGTTTTCTGATTCCAACAAACTCACTTAAGTTTGTCATTCTTATCGTCTCGGTGTTTTTTGTTTGTTTACAATTCTACATTGTAGATTAATAATTTTTCTCGCTTAATTTTGTTCACCGTGAAACATCTAATCTGAACGTAATCTCTTATCTGCCGTAACTCTCTTGTTACAGACGACGGCATAATATATAGATGTATCGATTGTCCCTTTTAAGAAAATACGCGTTGAACGATTACTCCATAAAACTGAGAAAAATTGAGGAAAGAACACGCTTTGCTTCTTCTGTCCTTTAAATATCCCATCACATTTCGGCCTTTTTTAACACGCATGATCCTGCTACGTCTCTTACGATCACCCATTTCCTGTTTACATATTTAAGTTATCTGATCGCCAACAAGCTCACTTAAGTTCGTCATTCTTATCATCTCACAATCAGTATCTTTTTTTTCACAGTAGAAAACTTGCACATTGTAGAAATGTAGAATAATTTTTTTACTGGCTTAATCTTTTTTTTTCACCATAAAATATTTAAACGTAATCCCTTATCTGTTATAATTCTCTCGTTACAGATGATGACATAATATAAACATATTGATTGTCCCTCTTAAGAAAATACGCATTAAACGATTGCTCCGTGAGGCAGAACAAATGACAGTATGATGAATGATATAGACAGTTTTGGTATGAAGGGCGCCGGCTCGAAAATGCCTCACAGTCATTCGACGCCGGCTGGTGTGGACGGAGGTAGTAGGACACCTCCCGCAACACCGCGAAAAGCTGGAAAGATGCTGGCAGTTCGTGTACAGATGTTGGATGATTCTATCACGATGTTTCAAGTGCAGGTAAAGGATACCTTATTTCACCCTCAAATGATATCCTCCTGCGTTTCAACTGCTCGCGACAATTACGCGCTAAGGCACGCGGAGAAAATTGCACAACGGATCTCATTTATCATGATCCCAACGAAATTCAATGTTCTTTCGCTAATAAAGTTTCGAAAGTACTCTTTATGGAAAAAAAAAACACAAGAGTTTTTGTCTAAGGTCACGATAGAATCCATAAATAAATGTAAGTTAAGAATATTCTACCCTCTTGCTCTTTACGTGGCGTAACAATGTTTTTTAGTCTGAGACCTTCCTGTGCATTATTTATATAAAAATGTGCAAACTGTACGTGAAAATGTTTTGTTTGCCGTCCTTACTACTTGAAAAGATGACTTCTCGTGCCCTACACAGAGACTATCGCTGGAATAAACGGTGTTGTAAAGTGACGTTGAATGATGCTTGAATCTCTTATTGTACCTTCATAATTCGACATTATACAGCAATTGGATGTGCAGTCCCCTATTTATCACATTCGCGAGCGTAAGCTGTTACGTATCCGCGCTACGCGCCCGCGTGTATTTTATCTATGTATTAAAATGCTATTAAATAATCTAATCCGGGAGAGAGCTCGTATCTCTCCCTTTGATATAATCTAATCTTCGTAATGTATATATATTATTTAACATATTTGCTATCATTACTTTTACACAGAAAAAAAAGAAGCGTCAAATCGACACTGATGTACTTGTATATACGCAAGAATATATAATCTTCTTATAAGAATTTCAACTTTTTTTTCTTGATTGAACTATATAAAACTTTGTTTAACTAAATAAACGGCTTCGTTCAAGCAAGTTTTCTTCGTTTAATGTAATATAATCTCATTTCAAAAGATTATATATTCTTGCGTATATATACAAGTATATAAGTGTTGATTTGACACTTCTTTTTTTTCAGTGTTTGTAAGTTGAACTCGTGATCGTTCGTATCTTTTACGTAGTCAAAAAGTCTGCATATGCATTAGTTCCATCATCCTATATTCTGCTACATAGGCATGTTAAACTATTTACTTCATCTATCCAGGTCAAGAGTCATTGATTACAAAGCTCCTTAGAATCTTCTCCCTAAAGCGATTTAACGTAAAATTCCGATACACGAGATTTTCACTTTCTTGTTATATCATTTAAAATTTTTTAAACATTTTTAAAAATTACATTTTTTTTCTAAAAAATATGAGGTGTGCTTTTATAAAATGTTATTATATCCATATGCTGAGGCATAGATAAACAATCTTCTGAAAACTTTCAAAAGAACCTTAGAATTGATCTTGATAAATGCAATATTTAGTTATTTATATTAAAAAATTTTTATTAGCTTATAATATTGTGTATTTTTATATTGGCAAGGCACTCGCTATACATGTTGTATAGTGCATATATTTCCAGAAGAATGAGCTATTGGAGCATATAATGTATCAAATGGGGGATCTCCTTGAATGTGTGTGAAATATGTATACACTCATTTATTGATTATTTATTTACAATGCTTGCAACGTGTTGCTTACTTCTTCAGAGATTAATTTTATTCTAGCGTCTTAATTTTTTATAGTGGAAGTACAATAAGATCATTCTGCACATTTACAGCTTTCGATCATATGACTTTGACATATTTTTGATTGACATATTTTGTGTGACAATTATTTATAAAAACATAACACAGATAAAGAGATGCCGACATTTTATAATTCAAGTTGTTATCAACTAGTTGTTGTCAAAGCTTATAATATAGTATAATATCACATTGTATAAATCTTATTATTTGAAAATTTCAGGCTAAGGCACTGGGTAAAGTGTTGTTCGAGCAAGTTTGTAAGCAATTGCATCTTTTAGAAGCGGATTATTTTGGTCTTGAATATCAAGAACCAAATTTCACAAAAGTAAGATGTGACTCTTAATGTAAATAACGTTTTTTAATAAACAATAAAATTAAAGAAATTTTGACATTTACAGTATTGGTTGGATTTGGAGAAGCCAGTGTGCAGACAAGTTGGTTTGTCTCTTATTGATCCGCTACTGAGGTTCTGTGTTAAATTTTATACGCCAGATCCTGCACAGCTTGAAGAGGAGTTTACACGATATTTATTCTGTCAACAAATCAAACGGGATTTAGCTCAAGGTTTACTGCAATGCAATGATAACACAGCAGCATTGATGGCTAGTTATATTGTTCAAGGTAATTATAATGTTGTTTCTATTACTATTAATTTTAAATCTAAGCCTAACACGACCTAACAAATTAATATTTTCATCTGTTTTCTTATTTGTAGCGGAATGTGGGGATTATGTGATAGAAGATTATCCAGATCATACATATTTATCAACATTCAAATTTGTGCCTCATCAGGATCAAGAGTTAGAACGACGTATTATGGAGAATCACAAGAAACATGCGTAAAAACTATATATCATACTTCATTAGATAAGTAATTTTCTATTAATGTCGGGCATACATGCATATATCATTTTAATGTTAATAGGGGTCAATCTCCTGCGGAGGCAGATCTCAATCTCTTAGAAACAGCTCGACGTTGCGAATTGTATGGAATGAAAATGCATCCAGCTAAGGTAGGCGATATTAAAAGATTTGTTCTCTTATCTCATATATCTGGCATTACAAATCTTGTGTAGCTATATAAAATATCTTCATACTTTTGTTTCTTTTTATACTAGGATCATGAAAATGTTCCACTAAATCTCGCAGTGGCGCATATGGGCATTGTAGTCTTTCAAAATTATACTAAGATAAATACATTTAGTTGGGCCAAAATCAGAAAAATCAGTTTCAAACGAAAACGTTTTTTAATCAAATTACATCCCGAGGGTTATGTGAGTATTTAAAATATCTTTAGCATTTGAAATCTTGAAAACAATTATTTTTGCATTAAATAAAGTATTAATTAATGAGCACTTAAATATAACATATTTTTGATGATCACGTATTCATGTTACTTTTTTGTTATCTATAGGGGTATTATAAGGATACAGTCGAATTTTTCTTTGAGGGACGTAATGAGTGTAAAAACTTTTGGAAAAAGTGTGTAGAAAACCATGGCTTCTTCCGTTGCTCTGTAGTTAAGAGAGTCGTAAGGCAGAAAACTAGAGTGCTTAGCCGTGGATCGTCGTTTAGGTATGTCAAATTAGCTCCAAGAATGTTACTATATTTATTAAAGAAAGTTAACGTCTAATTTTCACGTTTTTAAATATATTAGAGATAAATGTCTTACATATTTGAAAATATTATGTTAAAATTGTGATTGTACATAAACTTAAAAAAAATATATATAGTACTTTAATCTGTGTAGAGGACGGGAAGTCTATTTTTAGGCTCCACGGGGGTCGCTTATTTTTCGTAGTATAACACTTTAGCACATATATGGAAGTTATAAATAAAAATCATACAAAGTAATGAAAAAACTTGCCCGTTTTCTAAAGGTTAAATTCGGATAATTATAATATCAAGATATCTCTCTGTCTACATTGTTGTGCATTTATATATCACCAGGTATAGCGGCAAAACCCAGAAACAAATTGTTGAATTTGTTCGAGATAATTACGTGAAGAGGCAGACATTTCAAAGGTAAGTTTCTCTAAGAAATCGAGGAGTTGTTGAATAATTAAAAGAGTTTTTGGATACCCATGTAATACGTAGGTAGTGCATGCAGACCACGTACTGTTCTCCTAATGTTGATTCGTACCATTGAGATTTTTATTAACAAACGCACCAAAACTTGTGAGTAAGATAGGAGGTGGCACGGTCTTGCTTTTACCGGGATACAAGTCGATTATTCGTATGTGTATTAAAAACGTTTCCAATTTCTATAGCGGAAACTGTTTTATCATATCCATTTTTATATTTCCGTTTGTCAGTGTTGCCTGCTCGGACAGGGGTGGCGGGGAGTCAGGCTCACCATCAGGCACGATAAACCCGAATGATGAGTGTACCCTCTCTCAATAGCGTGATCACTAATTATTTATATTGTTGTATCTAATAATACACAGCAAAGTACCACATTTCACTGCCCTAACAGTTATATCCAACAAGATATTTGTCCATAGCAGTAGATTGTTCTCTAAAATAGAAGATAGTCTATTATATGATACAGTTGAAGAAACAAAATAAGCTGTTCTTGTATATACCGCCGGCAGATATTCATTTGCTGTGCGATATCGATGCACGGTTGAGAAACGCCTTTATATATTGAAACATCAATTGATGTAAAAAGATTAATATAAAATACGCGTAACATTAAATTTGCTTCTAAACAAGTTAGAATCGTTCATACATTACTACATATCAGACTTGCTAAAAAAGATCTCTGTGCATTAAGACGATTTTAAATATTTTTATATTTTATCTCTTCTGGACTTTTTTTCATCTCGAGAGCAATAATCGTGAAATAATCAAATTTTACATGAATCTTTGATTATCCGTGAACAATTATATACAATTGTAAAAGCTGAATGCATTGAAGTCTAAATATGACATTAGGTATATTTATTTTAAAAGTGCACATTTCTTTGTATTTATTTGTGCTTTGGAACACGCAAGATATTCCTCTTGTGTTTCATATAATTACTGCACGTATGGCTATTTGCGAACGCGCGAATAAAGATTTCTATATTAATTAATGTTTCTGTAAAGTATATTCCATATGGCATTTTTGAGAGCAGGACAGCCTCTTTTTACAATTTCAAATTCTATTGAAAATAATGGCTGTCTTTTCACTATTCTTAAATTCAGTGATAATACACAATTCTCCGTTGCACTCGCGACATGTTACACAGCCCGTGATGATTTACTAATTTTATATATACTTATTTATTAAGTATAATTAGTAAATATGTATATACATAGTTAGCAGCACATTTGTTAATTTTATAAGTGACATTTTTATCTTGTTATATTGTATAATTAAAAATATAAAAGCTAGCTCTACGCGTGTCGACAATAACATACTACATTGCAGTGAAAAAACATTTAACGGCGGTATTGACCGTGTATCGTATCAGAAGTAATCTACTTTTGTTTATCGCATCGTATTTCAAGATGTGGATTGGTAGGAAAATCAATATCATGTGCATAATTCCTTGCATCGTAGCGTCGAGTTAGTCGAGAAGCGTTCTTTTTTTTCCTTTTCTTTTTTCTTACTAACGATCGTTGACAATAACGAAAGAAAGAAAGAAGGGATAAGCTAGTTCCAAACACAGGCTTGGCATTTGACAGCCTAAGTCTGATGCTGAACTTGACTCTCTCTTGCTCGCAGGTCCAATTCGTTCCGGCAGACTAGCGGTGGTAGGGCATTGCAGGGCTCGGAGGGGGGAGGCTATCGTGGGGCCACTCCAAGCAGCTCCCTTATGGGCAGCTCCAGCATCTCTGCCCACCCCCTCCTGCCCCTCGGCGATCCTGGTATGTACCATGACCGACACCAACCTCCACAACAAACGCTTTATTTTTAATTTCTCCGCCCTTTGGCTATCTATTTCTGTCCACCTGTTTCTAGCCTTATTTCTTTTCACCGTATCATAACTAAAGTATTGTAATAGTAGAGTAGAATAGCGTATATCTTAAATAGATTGTTTTTAAACGGACGTTTTGTGCTTAAAGTTTATTATGTTCATAAAAATCATGTGTGTGTGCGTGTATGTGCGCGCGTGCAAGCGCAAGCGCGCGTGTATGTAAAAATTATAACGTAAGAAAATGTCAATTATATATATTTGTGATTATGATTATGATTATATCTCGTTGACACATTGAAAGGATTTCCGAAATGTACATATGTATAATTAAGACTTAAAATTGAAAAGATTATTTTGAGATTACATTAATTGTACATAAAGAATTAAATAATTAAATATTAATTAGCTTTTGATATTTTGAAAAGCAATATTAACAGTTTTGAAAAGAAATATAAAATATAATGTTTATATCACTACACGATTTAGATAATAATATATTATATAGTGTATACTGATTATTGTATTAGAATAATATAATAATATTATTGATTACTATAGCAGAATAATATAAAACCGTTAACACTAGTTTACTACTAATATTGTGTATTAATTTACTAACATTCTTTTATGTTATTCGAAGTATGAAAAGAACCAAGTGTCGTGCGTGTACACGCGTGACAAATTCATTTTCGCAGTAGTTATTTTGCTAATTAAATATCCATTAGAATAATTAACACAGCAGAGGCGTGATCGCACAAGAGTCACATATAAAAATTTCATAATATTACACATCAGGGATGTTAGAAGAAAGAGGATTTATGTCACGCGATACGATTTTTCCAGCCCTGGCAACCCCAGCTCTGTCTCTGTCATGCGGTTCGATGACACTGGATTCTCCGACGACTGTGACGAGTGCCTCGATGGGAGGGACGATTCACCGTCGAGAAGACACAGCTACATCGTTTCGGACGCTTACCTCTATCGACGTCCATTCGCCAGCCACCCCCAGCCAGGTCCCAGCACAGCGGCAGACACATGCTACCAACCAGCAACGGATTTCATCAACAGGTCGTATCAGCCCCTCTAACAGCAGTCCCCCAGAATTCCCACCACCACGACCTCTGCCCAGATACCCTTGGCAACGGTCGGCTAGTTGTCGCGAGTTGTACGCTTCTAGTTTCGAGGACTCCGGTAAGGCGCGGCCGCGGGACGACAAGGTTGCCGCAGACCTTCCGTTAGATCCATTTCAATTAGCCTCCCAGGGTGAGCTAGATAACCCCGTAACACGTTACGACGAGAGTAATCGTTCGTATAGCGCCGCTAGTTCGAAATTACCTTCCCTAGATCACGATTCTGTCCCCGAGCGTGTCTACAGCAGTTCCTACCCGGGAACGTCGTCGTTGTCTACCGAATCGGGCCATGAGGAATCGGGTCCCGCTGGAGATCTGTCGCACGACGATCTCTCACACGATTCTTACGAGCTTTTAGAACGCGAGCATGAATTCGAATATCCGGAATCGTATTCTAGTCCGCATGACGAGCACGAACCAATATCCGATCAGAGCGACGAGGGAATCGAGCACGAGATGTTCCAAATGGACTCGGAAACCGATTCCTTCGTCAAGCACAGATCGTTAAAACCTTCGGAGAAACAACAATACAGATCCGCGTTCACTGATCTCAAGAACTCTAAAACTAAGTCCATCGATCGGTACTCAGCTGTATCCAAGGCGAACGACGATTTTGTGATCACCGAATCTAGGATACAACGAACGGGCACTCAGATAGAACGCAAGTTTGAAACGAGACACGCCAATTCCATGGAACAACCGTCTAAGACGGCTATTCCGCATCAGGACTCCGCCAGAAAAGATCCCGTGGTGATGCAGGTGCAGAAGCAAAAAGTTTCTGTCCTGAATGAGTTAAAGAATTTAAAGCCAAAGTACAAGATCACTCACGTAGACTCGGAGGTCTTGCGAGACGAGGGTATTATGCGTCCGAAATCGCGAATAGACGACGATCTAAGCCCGGTTGACGGAAACAAAACGGTAGATTATAACGCGAAAGGTAAGACGACCAGGGCGCGCAGTATCGCCAGCTTAGACGATCATCCGCGGTTGTACGTCGAGACGGGTAGTCTAGGTCGGGGGCATAAGTCTAGAGATAGGAAATCGAGAGATTCTGACGTCAAGGTCGAGAAAGTCTTGTCGAAGGAGCGTAGAAGCGTCGAGAGGGAGGAGCGAAAGCGGGATTACTCGAGGCGAATAGACAAGAGCGATTCGCGAGAACGTCGTTCGGTGGATCGGCTCGATTCGCGCGAACGGAGATCGGACAGTCACGGCCGTCGCAGTATAGACCGGATCGATATGCGCGAGCTACGTAGAAGCATCGAGCGGCTCGACGTGCGCGAGAGGAGTTACGAGCATCTAGACTCGAGAGAGAAGAGTGCCTTTTATTACAATGATTTCTATGAATCGCGCGGTAAGAGCGTCGATCGTTTAGACTCTCAAGGGCTGCGCAGCAGCATGGAGCATCTAAAGAGTCCCAAGGAGAGGAGCAATCATCGGCATTCGGAGCGCCGGGAGAGGAGTATCGAGCGGATCGATTCTCGGGAAGCGAGGAAGAACAGAGCCGCATCTATCGACTACGATCGGCATATTTTAGAACGATACGATTCCGACAACAGAAGTCCGTTCGAGCGGTTGACTCCGAAAGAACAACGAAGGATGAGCGTGGACAGACTCGATTCTCAAAAGTTCGACTTCGATCCGCGAGCGATCGAACGTTTGAAATTCTTGGAGCGCTATGAACAAAGGGAACGAACTCATGAGAGAAAGATCGAATCGAGGAGCGCCGAGCGTAAGAGCCTGGAGAAACTGGACTCGCGTGAGCGAAAATACTTGGGACGTTTGGAGTCGCGGGAGGGAAGGAGTCTCGAGTGCCTGGACTTTGACAGCGTAGAACGTAGAAAGAATATCGAGAGAATGGAGCATAAGGATCAGAAGAAGAGTAGAAGCAAGTCCGAGAAAGCCAAGTCGGAAGAGAAACCGCGGGAACGCGACGACTGGAGAAGTTTGGAGAAAGCGCGAAAGGATGACGAGAGACGGGAGCGCGAACGACAGGCGAAATTGTCTATCGAATCCCGTACAGAAACAGTTATCGGCGTCCCGCACGAGATGGAGAATTTGAAATCGAAAACCGTATTCTCCGAGTACGAGCCGAAGGTTGTTGGCGGCGTTGTGCTGGGTTTCGAGGAGACCGCGTTGCCCGGACACGTGCCGGTGGAGCGTACGAAGAGCGATCCGAATCCGGCGCGGCAGAGACTGGGATCCAACAGCAAGCGGCACATACTGATGCATCAGAAATCCATAGATCTGACACCAGCCGACTCCGGCGATGAGGAACCGTTCTCGGACAGTGCGGCGATGCAAAAAACCAATGTCGATATCCCGTACACGTTGCACAAAAGGCACGTCATGAACGGCACGGCGTCCGACGAAAAATCCGAGTCGGATAGCAGCAAAACTTCGAAGAATGTCAAGAGTCTCGCCAAGGATTTACCGAAGTTACCGCTAAAGATGGTAACAGATCTCCCGTACTTCGATCTGACCAAGCTTTCTTCGATAGACAAGGCCGGTAATAAACTATCTCCGGATAAATCGAAGAGCGGCGCGGTTACCGCCGCAAGACCGAAATCGATATTAAGCCCTTCGGATAAGCCGAGAAGTATTCTGAGTCCAACATCGAAACTCTCACCCACTGATCTGAAGAGCATCGTTTGCAGTTTGTCGCCTATTAAGAAGAGCCCCTCGAAAACGAAGACCCATTCTCCTGAGAAATTTTCGCCAAAGGGCGGCTCGTTAGATAGGAACAGAGCCGAAGTTATCATCGAGGATTACACGTGCAAGAAGTCATCGAGTTTGGACAAGAAACCTTCGAAATTGTCGCCAGTGGAGCCGAATGTCACCATTATCTCGGCCATCGAAAAACGCTCGCCTAAAAAATCGCCGACTGATTCTAGCGTGACTATCGTCTCTGTGATACAGAAGAAGAAATCTGTCGACGGAGCGCCCAGAAGTCCCACTAATGTTGCGAAAACAGCGGACGCTAAAATAAAAGCTGCCCTGAATTTTGCCGATATCGTTGGCATGGAAATGAAGCAGAATTTAGAACGCAAGGCAAAAATAGAGATAGATAGTCTAAAAGCACCGGACGATAGTTTAGAGAAGCAAGATAGCATTGAGACGATACCATTACCTGAAATTCCTCCTAGCGGACAGGCTGAAGAGAGAACGATAGGTGACCAAATCAGAAACGTCGAACAGACGGTGAAGGAACGGGACCGTTCCCCGAAACGAGCCGTCGACGAGTTGTCGGACGATGATCAAAAGAGAGAGAACGTACAGTCTGTAATAGCTCAAGTTCACATACCGGCTACAATGGAAATCAAATCAGAGAAACCACCGATTCCGGAAAAACCAAAGACGTTAGAGAAGCCAAGTATTCCCGAAAAAACGAAACGTATTTTAGAGAGAATAGAATCGAAATTTTCGGAAGTTAATAAAAATTCCGCCACAAGGATATCGAGGCCGAAGATCATTGATACAGGATTTGATGATTTCGTGGATCCAGTCGCCGATTTGCCTTTGGACGAAGTGCCTGTGAAACCTACTTTAGAATTGGATAGTCTTAAAGTTCCTGAGTTCGTTCCTTTCCTGCTGAGACCGCACGCGGAACCGATAAGATCGAAGTCTTTATCGCTGGCGGAAGAGAAGGCTCCGATCGATACCTTGCTCTCACCGGAAGTCGAGAATAAACACTTCGTGCAAGATGTCTCTCCGAAGAGGGTGAAGAAGGTGAAGTCCGAGCCGAAAAAAGATTTCAAAAAACAATCAAAATCATTAGAGGGCGACAAACCACCGTTAAAAAAGAGCGCATCGAAGGAGTCACGTTCGCCATCGGCGAGTACAAAAATTGACAAATCCAAATTAAAGCTCGGCGAGATGCCACAGGAGATCATAATAATAGATTCGACTGATGTGGCGCCGGAAATAAGCATTGTACAGAAGGGCAGATCGAAATCTGTAACCAGATTGCCCGACAAACCGTTTTCAACGTCGAAGGATGAGAAGGAAGAAATGAAGAGTACTCGCGCGAAATCCGCATCCGTCGACGACGAGCTAATTAAAGGCGCGATAAAGTCCGAGAAGTCAAGACCGAAGTCGTTGGGAATCTCGAAAAGCTTGGGAAGTACGGAGAAGAAAGATTCAGTAGAGAAAATCTCACCGAAAAGACTCAAAGCTGCCGCCAAAGCAGCCGTCGAAGGCAAATCTGCTGCGGCTAAGGACGCAGCGTCGAAACAGGACTCGAAAACGGTACGCGGAAAAGTGGCCTTGAAAGTGGAGGCGACTAGTGATGAAACTGCTGCTGAATCGAAGCAGCCTAAACAGGAAAAGGAAAAGCCGTGTGTTAAACCTGACGTGGTGATTGATCAGCCAGTGGATACTAAACGAGCCGTAACAGTCGACGAGTCCAAGGGAGCAGTCAAGGAATCAGGCAAAGAGTCAGGTAAAGAGCCAGGCAAGGAACCAACGAAGGACAGCGTAAAGAAAACGGCACTTGCTCAGGATTTAACCGAATCTCCCTTGGTCTTACGTAAACCGGGACAGACGCCGATACTGTTCGCTCGCGCGCGTCTTGGTCTTTCAGAAGGTAGCGGAATTGGCGCTCTTCAGCGTCAAGGTGCGACGCAGTCGCCTACTGCTCAGCGGCGCGCGAAATCTCTGGACGCCGCGGTGATCTCCGTGCACAGACTACCACCGGCGAATGCGTTCTCCAGCAAGGATGACACAGTGGACGTGTCGGAGACATTGGAGGATCAAGAGAACGCCGCCGAAGAAGCTGCTCAAGGCGCGAGCACGGTATCGAAGGTGCTTTCGATTCAGATGGAGGCCTCCCCGAATCACAAATCCGACAGTACCGATCACACGACCATACCGGAGATATGCACGGATTCTCTGTCCGTTACCGAAACCTCGGGACAGTATCTAGAGTCGCCGCTGACAGAATGTAACGAGATTGTCCCTGGCGCCGATTCGATAGCCTACGAACAGGGACAAGAGAATGGCCGAATTCCGTTTGTGAGTTCCATTAACGAAACGCAAACGCCGAAAGTCACGGAGAGCGCTAAAATAGAAGAAACGACAAAATTCATTGATCAAAGTTCTACAGATTCCGGTGCTGAGCAGGAAGTTTCTAAGGAGAGTTTCGATGCGAACGCTGGTACGTCAAGAGATGCTCAGTTGGATCAAGATCAATCGGCAGTCTCTACGATTTTCGTGAAGAGCGCTAGCACAGAAGTCGTCTGTAAACAGAAACAGACAGAATCGCCGAGCGAAGTTTCCGATAGCGAAACTGCATCAACGAAATCTCCTTCTCGCCCACATGATTTTCGTGTCGATGGTTCGAGAAGTCCGTCTGAGAGAGATGATGTGCCTGACGTAACCATAAGCGCGGCTCGAGAGAATGACATGTTCTTCTTGCATTGTTACGATCAGGACGATCCTCCAGATATGGTCAAGTCGCCGATACAAATATCCATCGAAGAATGTTCCGACGACGACGTGAATCCGGAGGAGGAAGAGGAAGAGATAGCGGAAGTGCGAGTGGAAATCGACGAGCGAGACGAAGAGGAAAGCCACAAGCGGCTGGATTCCCTCGATACGAGCGAGGATACTCTCGACGCGCTCGATACGCAAGTACAGACGCGAGGCGTGGACAGCGAATTAAGTTCACCGGACTACGGTGTCGATAAGATGGACGAGAAGACGTTGGTCGAAGTCGAGTTGACGCCGGAATATCTAGAGATGAAAAGAGAAGATGAAGAAACGGCGGAAGAATTGCCGGAAGATGAACCGGCCAGAGAGGCTGCGGAAATCGCGGACAGCAATCGTCTCTCCATCGATAGGAAACTTAGACTAAGCACCGAACGCTCGAGAAGTGAGGAAACCAACACCTGGACACCGGACAGAGAAGACCCGGACTCCAGTTCGTGTTCCATCGCCCGGCCGCTAGGGATCGGCCAGATACAACCCATAATAGACCGTCGGGAGATCGCCATGATGGAAGGCGCCCGAGACAGCGGTTCTATGGACGACGACAACAGCAGTGGCTCGCAACATCCTCCGAAGCAGGAAATGAGCGTCACGTGGAAATCATTCCCACAAGGAAGCTCCGGTAGTTCTAGTCTCGAGGACGGTTGGGTGCCTCAGGACGAGAACAACGTGCAGCGTGAATCGCAGTCTGAAGACAGCAACGGTCAGAACGAAGACAGTTACCAAGAGGACTTAGCGGACTTTCCTGGCACCTTTATCATTGGTCCCGAAATATTAGCTAACTACGGCGCATTTTCGCTTTCGCGCACGTTGTCGAGAATATCCGAACGATCGACAACGTCGGAACAAGACAGAAGCGACTTGGAGGATTCGTTTAAGCCCAGCTCAAGGTCACCGAGCCTCGACGACGAGTCTTTGATGTCGAGCGATCATCAGCCGTCTCTATCATCGGATCCTCCGTCCGGTACGGCGTTACCATCCGTTTCCGACGATCGCAGGACCTCTTCCGAGCTACCAGACATCCCCATCGACGTGGTCGGCGCGCACGAAGATGACACGAAGTCGCCGCGAACGACCAGGCGTTCGCGATTGCAATTGCAAAGTTCCGAGGACTGGCCGTCGCCGCCCAGTTCACCCGTTTTTGAAACACCGATAGTGAGTCACGTGGAAACATTCTACATGGAAATTAAACCGGAGGAAGCCGTCAAGGTGACCGTTACGGACAGCACGGACACGCCCGTCCATGCGGACCAAAACAGCGACTCCAGCGACGAGAACAGGACGCTGCACGACGATCTGCATTCGACCCTTTTGGAGGACGGGCAAAGCTCGACGTCCGCAACGACGGCCGACGGCACGGTCAAGATCGCAGTAAAACCGAAGTCGAATTCGTACATAACCGGCTCGTCACACAGTGAAGACACGTCGATGGGCCTGTCTATGTCCGAGTGGTCCAGCTCGAATAACACCGTGCGCCAGTTTTGCCAGTACTCCGGCACAAAGTCTGACGATAATTCGCTGGCGGAGCTTGGCGCCTCAATCTCGGACTGGTCGGGTAGTACGACGGTGATACCGCAACAGTACTACGCCACGACGGCTGCGGACAAGAGTCAGAGCGACACCACGACGTCCGAGAGGAGCGCGACCAGCATGAGACCGAACTCCAAGTGCCAGTCAGCTGACACTTCTTCCCTTCCGTCTCCGCCGTCCCCGTCTTCGCTGCCGTTACCCATGTCGCCACCACTGCCTTCTCCGCCCGCGACAGCTACCGCCTTGTTTCTTCACGAGGACGAAGCCGCCGGTTCCGCGATCGAACAGCACGAGACTTTGCAGACCGAGACGCCCGTCAAGGATGACGACGACCTACGTCAATCTCGAACGCAGGATGACGAGTTCGATGAGGCGCGGCGATTTATCGAGAACCAGTTTGACGAGCACCATCGCCTACGCCGATACGACGACGAGCAGCAAGGGGCTTATCCCCAGGAATTCACCGAAATCTCGCCGCCTCGTATCACTCTTCGAAACGAGTACGACGAGGCCATCGACGACGACGACTTCCAAATGGTCCCGGATGAGGATACACTCTGCGTTGACGACACGGCGTTGCCGATCCCCGAGGAGGACGAGGAGGATCAGTTGTACGATAACGTGCCCGCAATGAAGTATTCCAGTAGCGACAAAGTGCGGATGGAGGTTCGCCGCGGGGACAGTTCAGAAGATATGCACGAGAAGTACGCCGATCTAACCCTACAAGCGCGAGTAGCGGACGACGATTGGTTGTCCGAGGAACGAAGAGACGTCCCGGAACGGGAGAAACCGTCGACGAGGTCGCCGAGCAAGTTTGATCGCGGCTTCTCGGAGCCGAGTCCGCACGAGGCGGGCAGACATCAGGGCACGCGGTCCACCGTGCGGCCCGTAATGGTGCCGATCCGAGCGAAGTCGACCCCGTACTACTCCACGACGAGTCTGAGCGGCGAGTCGACCACGTCGAGCCCGCCTATGCCGATCAGAACGCAGATCAGAACAAAGACGATGCCTTCCTCGTCCAACCGCAGCCCGCAGAGCGAGGGCGACACGTCCTCGAGCATGGACAGCCCGGCGCACACGCCCGATCGGGGTCAGCGGGCCTTCCGCCGGAAGCGACAGCAGAACGCCAAGAGGCGACACCGCGTGGTAGTCGATCTCGAGGTCAAGGACGGCCACATAGTGTCTAGCACCGATTCCAGCTTCGACGTGGCGAACATTCCGCCGCCGCTGCTGATGGAGGGCCAGAGTCTGGACGTGGAGGACGACGAGGACGACGAGATGTCCGAGACGAAGGACGAGCGTCGGCGGCAGCAGCGTTGACGCAGCGTCGACGAGTGACGCTAAGTATAGAATTGAACGCGATCGATTGCGCTCACCCGGGCTCAAACTAGCAGGATTTGCAAAGTTCGTGTGGAATTGAACGCACCTTAGAATTGACAGACTTCGTAGTCGTGCGTTGGCACTCTTGACTATCACGCAAACCAAGATCAAATGAGAAACGGATCTCGCGAATGAATCAACGACTTAGCCTAGCCTTCCGCGATCTTGATGACGACGATTCAACGACCACGACTTGCCCGGCAATATATCGCGCCGAGTGGCAATCGTGAATCGGGAGTTATACGGGTATGAACGACGACGAGGGTACCAACGGCGACGAAAACTGGACAGACGAGACAAAGAGGACGTCCGTCGTTCCGGGCTGGAACGCCCGAGGCTGAATGATCAAAAGCTGCGCAAAGAATGTAGCATAATTATCGTTAAGGATACAGATACGGTTTGTTACGCGTTTTAGAGACCCGGTTTACTTTGATATTACGATAGAACCCCTCTGGTCCCCATCCCCTCGTAGAGATGAATATATTTTAGCGAGTAATATTCATGCATAACACACGGGAAGCGAGGAGTATCTTAACTTATCGCGATCGACGTGCCCGCGCGCGACTCGGAGAACGACAACCATTACGCGCGACACGTTGTATCCTAATAATTAATAATGTTAATAAGGCATAGAGATCGAAGAAGCGACGTAGGATTTTCGAAGATAATTGTGACTCAAGGAAGAGCCGCGTCATCGCGATTATCATTTTTAACCCTTTAATCAGCCCGTACCCTCGTTTCGTTTCTCGCACGAAATACATACCTTCAACATTGCTAAGGGAAATTGTGCGAGTATTTTGAACGAATAACGTAACATTCTTTTCTCCTACAAAATTCAACGTAGCTTTGTTATACAATTATAACTAGCACGGCAACGTAATAATCGTGCAACACGGTACAACAACGTTAAAGGGTTAAAATAGCGCTAAATCACGGCGTCGCAAATGTACGACGTTTTACACGGTCGCGCAACCTTGAATTCATCCAGGATCCAGGACAATCAATCGCGAGCGGCGGGTCGCTCAAGATGGCGATCCCCTCGAGAGGGAAACGAGGGAAACGAAACGCGGAATTACGTAAGGTCGTTCGGGGCCGATTGTTTCCATTGTTCGAATTGAATTCCGAACAGCAACGACAACGCGGATCCCTATATGGGCTATATGATTTCGCCGCGGTTTGCTTCGCGCACGCGAATTAGAAAGGAGGAGTAAAAGTTGCTCAACGTAGATACGTAAAACGTGGTGCACCGCGCTTCTAATGACAGGTGCATCCCCTGATATATCTTCCGCGTATGGAATTACCCTCGACGAAGGAGAGGAGCACCTGTTACTCGTTAATAGACGTTGGCTCTATGGACCAACCGAGTAGTAGTCGCTAAGCTCTCTGATTTTAAGTGGGAACCTTAAGCGTCGTCTAATCATTAATCCGCGAGACTTATTCGCCTAGCGACAAACACATCCGCGAGATCAGGCCGGGAGATCTATGCCCCGCATTAAGATTGTTACTGGGCGACTTGTTATTTACCGCCGATACTTATTGCGAGAGGAAGATCGCAGGTAGAAACGCGTTTCGGCTGTTTTCGGAGGAGTTTGATTCTTCCTGTTTTTCTTTCTCTTCTTTTCCTTCGCTCGTTCAGTAAAATTTCTATTTGAAGCTAATACGACTGGTACACGTGTATACTTTTATCGCTCGCAATTATTCGTTACCCGTAGATCGGTGGTTTTGAGAACGAAACAGAGAAAGAGAGAGAGAGAGAGAAAGATCGGCTTTATAGCGGGCAAATTCACGGGAGAAGGAGGCTGCCTCCCGATGAAAGAAACGTGCGGTTTGAAAAACTTTAGGAAGGAGTCCGACTCGAGCGAAGCAATAGAAAGTCCCATTTGGATTTCTCATTGGCTTGTATTGTGCCTAGTTTTTTATACCATGTTCGTCGTGTGCGCAATTTAGTACGAAGCGAACAAATTCGACGCGTTTTATGCGCGCACGTGCGCGTGCGTATTTTTAAATAGGTAAAATTTACGTAAGCGTACCGAGTTGTACGATTGAGAGAACGAGTAACGCCTGTTACCGAGTGCACACGATGTGTTTCCGGGATAACGATTTCACAGTTGCAAATTTACAATTGAGCGCGGCATCGTCAGAAGCGCGACTTTGCTTATTTTTCTCGGGTCGATGTAAGAAATCCTCGAATCGCGGTTGCTGCCGTCTTAACTTTACGTAGTAAAGTTGTCGACGCCCTTGTTTGCTGTTTAGTACTTTCATATATTCTATATTTTAATTTAGATCTTTATAGTTTAATTTAAATCTCTATATTTTATACAAGTTAGTTTTTATATCGAATACAATTTCTCTTGCGTTTCATAGGTGCATATTTATTAAACGAAATATCGAGTTACGAATCTTTAAAATGTTAGGTGCAATACTTACAGAGGTGTCACATCTTAAAGATGAAAATAGGTAAAAATAGATCAAATGGAACAGCAGGATTGATACTTAATTAATACGGAACTAATTAGCTTTCCCGTTATAGAGCGCGATTATTTAAATGGCTAGAACATTAGTTTAATTTCAAAGGCTTGTTAAAGTATACCTGGAAAGAAGTATCTTTGGATAGATTCCCGGTAAATGCAATTAATTGCAGCAATAATTCGTCAATAATTCGGGAATCGCAGCATTCCTAATAACGAGGCGAGATCGTTATCTGTATTGTCGGTATATCGGGGATTCTCGCAATACATATCGTCGTTATTATACACGGATACATTAAAATCGTTACTCGATGATCGTGTATTACGACGAGAGGGATACACAGCGGGAAAGATACGCGTGACGCAAAGAGATGACTGCTGAGTGCCGATAAACGATGGCATGCCGTTATCTTGTTTGACGAAACTCTCTCAGTTTTGATATCCGCGCACGTTCCGAGCCATAAGCTTAAATTCGAACGAAAGATTTACTTCAAGGATTACGTAAGGGTCATCATACCGTTGGATTTTCTGATTACACCCTGTACATGCCGTAGTTCGAGCTAGGAATGACAGTTATCCCGGGATTGCCCGAAGCGAGAACCGTCGGAATGGCTGTTGCCGAATCATCCGAATAGGTCGCGGTTCCGGCAATTCCAGGATGGTCCTGATTTTGGAGCGGCACACAGAAATATGTAATGGACGGCTTATCTGACCGCGAACGAGAAAAGTAGATCTCCGGGAAGATTTGTCTGTAAATATATCTCTATTTGGAAAAGAGCTTCCCGCGATTCACCTTCGAGAGTCGTGATCCGAAGATCGAAGATTCTTTTTTTCCCCCGTTATCTGTGCCCAAATGATTCACAACGGCACATCTTTTTCTTTGTCTGGTTTTCTCGATCTTACAGCGATATCCAGATGAATTTATTTAAAATTCACTTGAAACGCATCGGCGTATGTAAATTAATGAAGCAGACAGAACCTTCGACGCGAACATTAGGACGCTAACTTGAAACTCGCATCGATAATTTAACGATTATGGTCGTTATATGAATGTGCAAGGTAGAATTTTGAGCACCTTTTTTGATAAATTTACCGAAGTCATAAGAAGCAGAATTTTTGAGAAGTCACGACGCAGAAGTCACGAACGACGAACGGTTAACATACGAGTCATCTCTTCGAAATATACTCGGTGCAGAGGTCATACTCGCCACATTGGTCTAGTTACGTTAATGTCTATAGTAGCACGGCCTGGGCGATTAGTCGAACAAAACCCTTTGATGCGTGATTAGTATCACTTGATTAGTATCACATGTCCCCATTTGTGTATGAGTATCTCTACTCGACGGCGAATTCGATCGGGAACGCACGAATGCTATCAAACCGCAGGAAACACGGCGCAAGTTTGCCGTTTCATTACGAAAAGGAAACAATGTAACGTCACTTTTCCATCAGTTCAGTTTACTCGATCAGAAGCACTGTCTTTCTCTTTCTCTCTCTCTTCGCAACCTTTTCCATTTATTTGCGGTTTACTCCATCGAATTCGCCACGAGACTCATGATTTTGGTACGTCCTTTCCGTCTCTTGACTCCTGCATCTGTGCATCGTCAGATTCGGTCCTGTTATCATGTGATATCGCACTTAGAGCGATATTCATAATCTGATCTTAATTAAAGATCGTCTTAAGTATTTTAAGATAGTATACGGTCGTTCCATTGGCTGAATGGAATCTTCAGACTGTCTAAGACCAGACTTAAGACGATCTTAAATATAAAATCGGACTATAAATATCATCCCCTAGAGATCCTCTAATCAGAGTCTGAACTTAAGAGCTACTATTTACAATTGTTATTTCTCTGTCATGTTTCTTCAACTCGCATTTTCGACTTTTAAAATTCCTATTTTTGTTAAACATAACGAATAAGTTCATATTTCAAAAAGGTTTTATTAAGATTTAATTTCTCTTAATGCTATAAAACGATATAGTGTCTTTATAATAATGCTTGCACACGTATAAAAAAAATGAATAAAAAAAGAAAAATTTTTCCAATAAATTCCATGTATAAATGATACATAATTTCATACAAATTATAATTTTATCATAATAAAGCTAATTAATATCTAGTACGAATTTACAATCAAATTTTATATTCAAGCAAGTGATCAGTTGCAGTTTATGAGATACCTTTATAGTGTAATCTATATAACTGTACAATTTAATCCACATGTCAAATTATCAATTTATTTAGATTTATTTAAATTAAATCCCTTTCTTTCTAATTCTTTTCTTGAGAAAATGATAAAATTTATTGTCCCCTTGGAGTTACAGTATATACATTTTCTAATTTTTTTTTGTAATTTAATTGTCAATAAACTTTGTTGGAATTAAAAAAAAGGGATAATATTTAAACATTTAGAAAATTTTAGTAATTCCTTTTTGGTTTCCACTTTAATTTTTTCGTCCACACCAAATATCTATACTTGTCAAATATTGACGTACATTACGTGCGCCACTACAAATTAAATTGCACATATCTTTTTCTTTTTTGCAAGATTTTAAAAAAGAAATGTTGGACTCCCGATATCAGACTTTGATTCGAGGGTTTTCAATCGCACCTATACACATATCGCACTCGTCTCTATCACGCACTTGTTGTCTCCCCCGGCCCTTCACTTGTGACTGCGCGCAAGTTTTCGACTCGCTTCAGTCTTGTTTCCTGTAAAACGTACATAATAACGCCATAATTTCCCCCCGTTCATGCAGATCGTGGCGGCCAATCGTACGCCCTGCGCGATCATTGACGTGTCCGCGAAAGTTTTCGCGCCGCTCGAGTTCGAAGAACCCCAAATTCGTTTCTCATCACGTCTCTCATCTAATCTCCGTAGTTATGCAACGGTCGTGTCGCATCTAGAACGCGTAATGCACGGAGGGATTGAGAAGAGAACGACGCGGATATTTCCGTCCCCCGTACGATGCGTCGACTCGAGAATCGTGGGGAACGCCTTTTGAACAAACGTCAGAACCGAACGAGAGATAGCTCACTGGGTCTGGGACACTCTGTTCACATCAATTGAACGTGAGAAACGCCATGCGAAACGTTAAACGGAGTTACACGGAGGATACACATTTCATCTGTTACAAAAGTTCCGAGTTCACTCTCAGATTGTCAAGCGTGTCGTTCGTTCGACGCGTGATAATTGAATTATCCGATTTAGAAATAGTGCCCAAGTGCCTCGAGCAGCTGCACTTGTCGATCAACTTGAAAAAAAGGAATGACATAGGAGGATACCGGTATTTTTAGACAGGGCGTCCTAGACCTATCGCGAAATTTCTCATTTACAGATCCTTCCATCAAGCTTGAATTCATTTTTCCCACTCAGAAAGGTCATCGCTATATTTTCGGGAAAAAAAAAAAAAAAAAAAAAAAATGATTTCCTGGAAACCTTCGGTCGTTTTATCCTTTTCGCACTCTGTGTACTTTCATGAAATTTAGTTCTCTTTTGGCATTTAAATTCTGATTGCTCAGAGAAGAATGACATTGGCAATATTGGCAAAATCGGTCCTCGCTCAACGACGAATCATTCCCGAACCGGGCATATTCGCCTTTGTTTCTTCCCTTTTCTTTTTGTGGCAAAATACGTGAAAGTATCCTCAAAAGAACGGACAGATCTTTCACATCGAAGAGGGAAGCGCCGAGTTCGGCGGCTCTTTTCAATGTTGGAGAGTGTACGGGTCCCCTAAATCACGCAGTCACGAACAGAGTGACAGAGGCCTTCGCACGACAGACTACCTACATGTATACATCATACATATGTACTTTACATATGCTTTTCGACAGGTGGTGGTGATTACAATCGCTGGACCTACACGAACGGATACGTGAACTCGCCGGCCTGGCACATGCATTACCGTGTGAACCAGGTGCGTAACGTAATGGTTCACGCAACACCACGCACCCTGACTAATCGATTTTTACCGCTGTACCCACGTTGAACGGGAAGCCATACACCGCACACTGTTCAGGCTAAGAAAGTACCACGCTACACGGCAGTGAGGCTCGCGCGAGTAGACGCGCGGCCGCACGCACCAGAGGATCGCGAAACGAGATCATTGACAAAAAAAAAAAAAAAAAAAAAGAAAAGAGAAAACACGAAAGAAAAGACCAAAATCCCGAGCGTACCGAGCTTCTATTCTTCGTCCCTTTACAGTTTTCTCGAACGTTATAACACTTTGCGATCGTTTGATTTTCACACAGCACTTTCACGGGATTGTGATTCTTGCGATTGAGAGGGAGGTAGGAAGCCGCGAACATTTTGTGCTCTCTTGTTGTTACAGCGTAATACTTGTAAAAATTCTCTACTGTCGAAAAAGAAAGAGAAGGATCCAGATTTAGCGACACACGGAGTGCGCAACATTTATATATATATTAATACCATCAATGTATATATATCTGGACAATGTATATTATACGTCCAGATGCGCATGTACAGAAGCGCCACGAAATTCCGTATTTTCCTACCGTCAGTATTTTCCCTGTTCTCAGAGGACAGAGAATTGAGGATACGCGTTTCGCCTATGCGAATAAAACATGTTGTCCCCTCTTCCGTTTTTCGTTTGAGTTGAACCTTTCGTTATCCAGCTTCTCTTTCTTTGTCAGCATGTTTCTCTGCTTCGTTAATTCCGTTCCGTAGCGAAATCTCTTGTCCTTAGATCTTAGACGCACTTAACTCCTCACCTCATGATATTTATTCCAAAGATCGTCACGTTGCTTATGATCCAAAAAAAAGAAGAAGAAAAGAAAAAGCATCGAAGACAGTCCCGCTGTTTGAAATCTGATATTATACCGGACTTTCGTGTGTGCACAAGATATCCGCAAGATGTTCACTAATCTTGACACACCCGCACTGCACTTTTAGATTGTTGCAATTTGATCTTCTAGAAACGCGTCTCAATGCGCTTCTTAACGCTGTCGTTAAAATAATCCCGCAATTTTCGATACCTTTTACGAATTAAATATACTGTACCAATATACTGTACAGTTGTGTGACACGTATTTCCGATTGTATATATACGCGACGTTGCATCAGCTGAACTCGAAGAGTTCCCATCATCATTTAACTCTTGTAGTTTCAAGCAATTCACCCTCAAAAACGTCACCCCCTCACATTTTTGCATTAGCCACATTAGTCTGTGCTATACATATACATATATATATATAATAGTTTATTGTTCCTGCCTCCCTGCCTAGAGCGTGCGTAGAGATGTGAATTTCACTCATACGAGCATACAAAGTTACATTAATCGAACGATCGCGATACGGCACCATTGATGGTACGCTACATATTTTCTACAAAGGACATCTCCCCGAAGGTCGGCAGGGGCATGAGATATTTTCCGAAGTAGCGTGTCGGAATGCCTCGACGAGAGAGAAAGAAGACACGAATTCATCAAGACGCCAGAAACGTTGAATAATCTAAGCGGTGGAATATTCGCAGATCAGCTGCGACGTCTCTCCGTATGCCAAAAAATCGGAACAATCTCGACCGTTTTGTACTGCCTTACGTTAAGCTGTGATAGCGAGATAAAAAATAATAATAATCTGTGAATTTTTTATTGTTATTGAGTGGAGAAATAGCGCGATCGTCAAACTCACATCTCTAGTTGCAGCGTGGTACTGAACGTTCCCGCATCTTATTGACCATTATTACACGTATACACAAAAAATACACACACACACACACACATATACGCTACACGCATACTTCTACGTCAATTATTAACTATTTAGGAACCTTTGGAACCATTACGTAGCGCCCCTGTCACGAATCACGAACGTATTTTGCCACCTGTCACAGTGTCTCGCCACGTCAACCCCTAATCAATTGTGTAAAGTCCGTTCTCGGTCACGTCACCATGCCCAATCAAATGTAATTCTTATTCACAGTATCTTTGCAGTATATGTGTATGGACACCGTAAGAGATCATCCTCGGCTCTCCGGCCCATTTCTCCTCAGTTTATTCGAAGCTTGTACCATTTTCCTCCCAATGGAAGAAGACAGACACCTGAGAGATAGATATAAACAATTTATTTTAAACATTATACCACTATAACGGGAAGTTTCTCAGCGCTCTTTCCCATTTTCAAAATCTGCGAAAGGATCATTCGTGATAACACGACAAAAGGCGCTGAACATTTCATATTGCGGTACTCGACAATTGAAAATTGTTTAATCTCCCTCGGTGTTCGAACGTAGGCTTCTGTCTTCTATGAATCCCCCCCCCCTTCTCCGATAAGTCGAGTTGACATTTACTATACGAATGTTCACGAATTTAGCAATAATGCCTGATGCCTGGGGCAAGAAGTTCGCAATTGATGGATATTATTCCGTGTCCCCTTTGTTTTTAATATGAATTCTAAAGAATCATCCTCCGTGCTTCTCAATATCGTATCTCGATAGTGGTTCAGGGGATCAATATATTAAATATAACCCGAGCGTGACAGCCGAACGACTGTTATGTATCGAGTAGTCAATCGCAGAGAAACTCACGATGGATATATGTTATAAATAGTTGACCCTCTATTGCATCACGTTTGTCATAGGCAAAAATTTGAATAAATGTAACAGAGCACATTCGATTTGGTTATGAATATCTTAGTATTTTGGAAAAATGTTTCGATAACATCGTAAAACAAGCCAATCTTGTTACAGGAAACACGCAGGATTTAATTATTTTTTGATACAAATTTGCTGCCTCTTTATCTACAAAGTTGACTGACATCAAGAGAAGTCATGCAATACAGGGTTAATGATAATAATAATAATAATTTGTGTTTGGCCAGATTTCGTTCTGAGATTGAAGAATTCAATGTAACTGCGATGTAATCCACTTTTTTCGGAATTTAGAGAATTAATCTTAACACTAATCGTAAGAAAGTTAAATCTGTGGCATTTAACTTTTTGCGTTTAAAAAGAGAAAGTATACGGTTCTGTTAAAGTTTGGAAATTCTCTTGTAAATTTTGGAGCTCGTATATTGGGCCAAAATGTAAACACTGGAGAAGTAAATCTCTGGCGAAAAGTGCAAGCGTTAATTTTCATAATATTCGGGTATTATTCAAATTATATGTTGAAGTTTGTAAGACAAAAACAAAGATAAATTTTGCCTAATAACTTTTGACTGTTTATAACGTAAATGAAGATGAATCAAAGAACTTCGTATTTTCTTGGCACTGTTTATTCACAAACACGTTAAA